TAATTTGTAAGTAAAATTTTATTATTTTTATTAATCATGAATCGCAAAAAGGCAAATGGAAAGCAACAGAAAACTAAAAAAATGACTAGAATCACAATGGAACTGAAAAAAGAGATTGTTGAGAAATATGAAGGTGGCATGCGTGTTCGAGATTTAACTGTTGCATACCGTATTCCGAGAACGACGATATCGACAATCGTAAAAAATAAAGACATTATTAAATCTGCTAACGTTGCGAAAGGGGTTAAATCAATTTCTAAACAGAGATCGAAGACATTAGATCATGTTGAGAAATTGCTTTTGCTTTGGATAACTGAAAAACAGTGTGCTGGCGACAGCGTATCAGAAGCAATTATTTGCGAGAAAGCTAAAATGATACATGCTGATCTCATGAAAAATCAAGCAGGAACTAGCCAGGAAAGCAAGGTATTTAAAGCCAGCCGTGGTTGGTTTGCGAATTTCAAAAAAAGGACCGGTATTCACAATGTTGTACGACATGGGGAAGGAGCTAGTGTCGATAAAGTTGCCTCATGTAAATTTGTTAAACATTTTGGAGAGTTTGTGGAAAGTGAGCGTTTTATTCCCCAACAAGTTTTCAATTGTGATGAAACTGGTCTGTTTTGGAAAAAAATGCCAAACAGGACCTATATTACACAAGAAGAGAAGTCATTGCCAGGGCACAAGCCAATGAAGGACAGACTAACTCTTCTGTTCTGCAGCAATGCTAGTGCGGATTGCAAAATGAAGCCTTTACTGATCTACCACTCTGAAAACCCGAGGGCATTTAAAAAACATAAAGTCCAGAAGTGTCAGCTGCCTGTTATGTGGAGATCAAATAGCAAGGCTTGGGTAACAAGGCAATATTTCACTGAATGGGTTAATGTTGTGTTTGGACCAAGTGTAAAAATTTATTTAGAAGAGAACAATCTACCTTTGAAGGCTCTTCTCCTAATGGATAATGCACCCGCTCATCCACCAAGCTTGAAGGATTATGTCTTGCCTGAGTTCGACTTCATTACTATAAAGTTCTTCCCACCTAATACGACTCCTCTCATTCAGCCTATGGATCAGCAGGTCATAAGTAATTTCAAGAAACTTTATACCAAAGTCTTATTCCAGAAGTGCTTTGAAGTAACCTCCGAGACAGAATTAACTCTGAGAGAGTTCTGGAAAAATCACTTTAATATCGTACATTCTATATCGCTCATTGACAAAGCTTGGCAGGAGGTTTCCCACAGAACAATGAACTCCGCTTGGAGAAATTTGTGGCCACAAGCAGTAACCGAAAGGGACGTCGAATCTAGGGCCTCTATAGTGGAGGATATTGTTTCTCTGGCCAGATCCATGGAACTGGATGTATGTGATGATGATGTGGAACAATTAATAAAAGAACACAATCAAAAACTGACCACTGAGGAGTTACAGGAACTGGAGAACGATGAGCATCAGACTAAAATGAATAGACTCTCTTCTGACTCAGAGGAGGAAGAGATAGAAGAAGCTCCTTCTTCATTAATCAAAGAAATCTTGCAAAATGGATGGATGTGAAAAATTTTGCAGAAAAATACCACCCTAACAAAGTTCAAACAAATCGAAATAGCATCGCTTGGGAAGATCAGACAATGTCACACTTTAGAGACATCCTGAGGAGAAGACAGACACAAAGTTCTTTGGACAGATTTTTAATACAAGTTGCTGATCCTAGTGAAAAGAGACAGGTGGAAAAGTAAAAAGACCAGAATGGGACTCTTCTTCCATAGAATAGAAAATTTTTTGTTTTTGTATTTTAGTGTTAAGGAGAGTTTAATTTGATTTGATTTAGATTTAGTGATTTAAATAATATAATACAATATACTGTAATAACTTTAAAAATCTACAATAAAATTTATTTTTTTATTAATGTGCTCAAACAGTGTTTAAATCATCTTACAACCCCATTAATATACCATATCAAGACGGTTTTTTCACGAGAACGGATTAATCATTTTTGCATTACTTCTTATGGGAAAGGTTGGTTTGGTATACGTCCTATTCGGTATAAGTCCAAACATCAGGAACGGATTAAGGTCGTATACCGAGGTTCCACTGTA